CGTGGTAGATGTGGCAAACAATGGTAAGCGGGACTAACTACGGTAGTCAGGGCAACCGTGATAGGAAGGTAAAAGCAGTAGGTGGGCATATAGTGGTCGGCTAGACAACCACGGTAGGTGTGGTAACCATAGTCGGCCGAACAAATCACGTCAGAAGTAAAACTGCGATCAACATGTCAACTGTGGTCGACAGACGCTCGACGGTGATGGTGACGGTGACAAACAGTGGCCGACGGTAACGGTTGACGGTTAACCGATGGTGATGGAAAATTCAATAGAAAATATTTCTCATCAGAGTATAGGCAAATTGGATACCGTTGGAAAGCTCTCGACAAAAATAGTGCATTTGGACATTTTTCAGGAGCTGAACGATGATTTAGACGGAAGAAATTGACTCAGGGTGCTGTCATTGTCTCTCCTTTTCAACGTGGTTACGGGCGACAGTGGTCGCTGGTGACATCTATTGCAATCATTGGTGACGGTGATCATGTGTGACAGATATTGCAGTCGCGGGCGACTGTGGTCACGGACGGCTGAAGTTGCGGGTGATAGGCGGTGAAGTTGCGGGGACGGTTGTCTTGGGCAACTATGGTCACGTGCAACTGTAGTCGTGGGTGACGAATGTTAAGTTGTGGACAACGTCTTTGGTCAGTCGTGGACGACGGTGAAGGACAGACACTGATGATAATCAATTGTGACAGTGAGAGATAGTCATAGGTGACAGTTAGTCGCGAGCAACATAGATTATAAGGTTCATGTCAGTTGATGTGTGTCTTTCAATGAGCTATGTTCTTTGAAAGAGGGGAAGAATTCTCAGGATATTTGTAATGAGAAGTAAAAATTTTTGTTCACGTATATAGTTGTGGAGGAGTTTTGATCATTATGTGATTAATGATCAAGATGATCATTGGTATATAGTTGTGGGGGAGTTTGATTATTATGTGATTAATGATCAAGATGTGCACAGTACAAGTTAATTACAATACCATGAAGCACAATGATATGAGGTATTTTATCAGACAAGAGTGCTTGATGAAATGATTGAGTTAGTCAAGATGTATGGTAGACTTTGATGATTGAGCTAGTCAATCTTGACAGTAAACTTTGATGATTGAGGTAGTCAAGATGGATGGTAGACTCTGGTGATTGAGCTAGTCAATCTTGACGGTAAACTTTGATGATTGAGCTAATCAAGATTAACGATAAACTATGGTAATTGAGCTAATCCATCTTGACGGTAACTCTGATGATTGAACTAGTCAAGATTAACGATAGACTCTGGTAATTGAGCTAGTCTATATTGACGGTAAACTCTGATGATTGAACTAGTCAAGATTAACGATAGACTCTGGTAATTGAGCTAGTCCATCTTGACGTTAAACTTTGATGATTGAACTAGTCAATATTAACAGTAAACTCTGGTGATTTAGCTAGTCAAGATAGACAATAAATTTAATTCAACTTATGCGTTGATCAAAGTTATTTCTTTGGAGAGTTTCAGGGGACATTACGCTATCATGCAGGTTGTGCATGGAAGCGTAGGTAAAGTTTGCTAATATAGTATCTTCAGTTATCTCTTTATATATTTACTCTATCTTGTGATGGATACGGCTTATTTCTAGTTAACTCTCGTGTAAAGAGTGACCTTGTATTAGATTTCTTTCTAGAACTTCCGCGGAGTAATTATATAGGTTACAAGATTTTTGTTCACTCTATGCTAGCTGTATCTTTAGTTAACTCTTTATGTTATTACTCTATATTGTGATGGCTATGGCTTAATTCTAGTTAACTCTTGTGTAAGGTTACTGTTACTTAACGTGAGTAGAGGTTACTGTTACTTAGAGGTTACTGTTATCTAATCATAGAGGTTACTGTTACTTAACGTGAGTTAAGAAGTAGATTGTTGAGGTTAACTCTAGTTAAGTAGTAACCTTGGATCCTAGCTGTTTATAGCTAGGACGGTCACCTGGACTAGGGATAAATACCTCAGGTTTCTCCTTGTATTGCGAGTCTTTTCGTGACAAGATCTGAAGTATAGGTGCTTGTGTTCTTGGTGGACGTAGCTTTCCTCCCCGAGAGTGAACCACATTATTTCTATGTCTCTGTGTCTCTCTTGGAGTTTACCGTCACAAAGAGATGAAATTGAAATTGAAAATACAAATATATATATATTTATAATTATAGATATGCTATAAAAACCATTTTCTTGATCTTTAAAAAATAAAAATTCTATTTTCAAAATAAAGTCTAAAAAATATTTCATGGAAAAAAGAAAATTTTGTTTATTATCTTGCATTTTTTTTAAAAATTGCATTAATTTTTTCTTCATTTTCAAAATTTAGAAAAATCTAAAAGAGATGAAACAATGTAGTTTTCAATAAAAAAAATTTTAATGAAAAAATTTAAACATTGCAAAAAGTCAATTTATTTTGAATTTGAAAACGGTTTTTCAATCATAAAAACATTTCAAATTTTATTTTTCAAAATATCGTCTAAAATTAGCTCATTGATTAAACAATTTATTAGAAAAAATACTGTTTTTGAATTTTTGATATCTTGGATTTATTTCAAATTTTTTTTAATAATTATTTTCTATTTTTCCTGAAACTATTTATTTTAATTAAGATATTATTCCATTTTAAATTAACATAAAATTTAATTAATTTTTTTAATATCCCCCCAGTAACTCTAAAATATTTTTAAAATACGATAAAAAACGAAATCGTAAATTTTCCGATTATTTTTACAAAATTATTATGAGATATTGTTGAAATGAAACAATAATGTTTTATTCAGAATTTCAAAAACTTTATTTATGAAATTTAAAATTATTTTCAATTTTTTTGATTATAATGAGGAATTTTAGTAGTTTTTAAGCTAACATTTTAATTCTGATTTTTTCAGATATTTAATTGATCTTTGGTTGTTTATATCTAAAGAATCGAAATTAATTCATAGCTCCGAGTTATTATTAACTTCAATAATAATACAACATATTTAAATTTTCGTGATGAAGTTTCAAATAATTTTGTGATCTCATAGTTAAATCAAACATTATTTTGGAAGAGTTACAAACATAACATATTTTGTGTATAATGTCAAATAAGTTTACTTTCAACTAAATTTATGAATTAGATTTTTTATATAACCAAAAGTATTGTATAAACTCGACACACACGTTTTGCAAGTTGCAAACTTTCGTACGTAACACCGTCGAGCCACAGGCCGGAAAGCCAGGGGATCCATGAGATACATGAAAAGTCGTAGGCCAACGACGAAACCCGCCGAAAGTTAAAAACTAGTGGAAGATGAACCCATTTGGAATAAAATCTTACTGTCAGAATCAACTTATTGCCTTCAAACCCTTTGACCAACAAAATTTACTTCGTCTCCATGGGGAATGTCAAAACATGGAACAAGGAAATCTATTTGTACAACCGTAAAGTTATAATTGTGAAACCAAAGGCTGGCTTCGAATGAAGCAGCTTCTTTATTTACAAAAAGACATAAGCACAAATTTGCGAGATTAGGTGTTCATGCATTCTTTTGGGCTTAATACCGAAGAATTAGATTATACACGATAGAATTTATGAAACTTTTGACTTTAAAAAATTATAAAACATGAGATATGCCATCTTTTGGACTGATTTGAGAGTAATGTGAAGAAACTGAAATAAAATAGTAAATGCATATTATAATATCCGGTATGAATGTAAAATTTATGCTATTAAGCGACCATAAATGTAAGTAACAATTCACGAGAGTGAGTTTGACATGTTCTTCCTTCTAGTATACTTGTATATTCAGAAAACCAAGTAACATAGCAAATGAAAATGTGGAAGTACCCAGTCAAGTAAGTTTAAATACAAAGGGTTGAAGAAAAGGTAAGCCCCAAAGCATCACGATGGTAACTATGTCCCACCCAAGAATAAGAATCTACCTATTTACGTCAATATATAAACGTATGGATCATGCCGCTAGTGAGCGTTGCACGCTATATGATGGAGACGACAATCGATAAGATGTTTTTCTCTATGCAAATCTTATTTCAAATAAACTGGCAACATGAATATTATATTCTATGGAAGATCCCATCTTCAAATGATTGAATACTGTAATGCGCCCGTCTCGACTCTCCAGCAACATGTTCTACAATACCGCATGAGACTTCAGTAATATTGTGAAGCATGAGGGCTAGAGAACATGGGCGGCTGGGCAGGTCACGAGGAATCCAATTCATAAGCAGGGACGCATAGATGCGTGCACTAATCTTACATCTTGTAAATTTACCATTTGTCAGCAGTCAGCAACCTCTCACATGAAGCAGAATTGCATCAAAGTTTGCGAACGATGACATCGTCCCCAAGGCAAGGATTGAGCAGATCAGAACCTCCTCCCGTGGATCCCACTCACATCTGACCTGGTGATAGCAGTGAATGAAGGCATGGCATGAAGCAAACTACTGTAGTGTTTATATTTTCCCTCAAGAGACAAGACGTGTCAGACAATTGTCTGACCTCACTTACTCGAATAATGATGTCTTGAGACTCTCAAGACATCATTATGCTGAGTAAGAATAAATCTCAAGTTGAGAGTTATTCACCGGCATATTAAACGGTGTAGACAAACGTGATTATGGAGATGCAATCTGAACATTTCTGACGAAGTGCCCGGATGCCGTTGAAGCGCTGCCAATCTGCCGTGGACAGGTCGTGGACCTTCAGATTTTATTTCTGAAAAGTGCAGAATCAACTTGTCATGTCATTAACTCGCACGAAGTTGTGGATAGAGAGTGCTATGCTTGAGTTTTGCGGTGAATGTAGACGCTCACGCATCTACCTCCGACATCGACTCTATTACCTGAATCTCTATACTGGACTCGTGTGAGTCTACATCACTGTGCGGCCGCGGTCACCGTCTGAGAAAACTTCAGATGGAAGTCAAATCTGAATCTTATCGGACTGCTGTAGAATGGGATTCTGTTTGGAGCTTAGACCTCGTCTTATTAGGACTTTAGTTTCTGATTTATCGCAGACATATCACCCTCGTGATTACCAGGTCCATCAACAGGCTCATGCTACAGAGACTTGAGTCAGTATACATCAGTTCTCTTCACTGAGTTCGTTCATTGCTCATTGCGGACTTCACAGCTCTCCAGCCTCCCACGACTCGACATTGAGTTGTGGTTCCTTTGGGATTTTTGAGCTTCAGGCATCAACCTTTTGAGGCCGGGAGAAGCAGTTTCGCCCACCTGAATTGCGACAGAGACATGGCAGATCACTCACCTGCAGCTGGGGGTGTGATTGGAGAAACTGCAAAATCTTTGTCAGATCCGTTCAGATCGTATCTCTACGGGGAATCGGAGGCGCATACAGCCTGGAGGCATGGAGGCCCCCCGGTCTACGATGCGGTTAACGCGGTCTTTGAAAAGGGTCGCACTCAGGTACGTTTGCTTCTGCTCTTTTTCTCTCGATCATCGATCGCCTGCTTCTGCAGTCACGATAGGAGATGCAACGAACCATTTGAAGCCCAAGTTTCCGCCACGAAGAGGCAGATTATCGCAATATTCTCTGATGGATGATGCATTTATGAAGCTGACTTTTGAAGTGATTCTCGAGGAGTACAAGGTGTCGGAATTTCGTCATGTGTGCAGGAATGGTGGTCACAGACTACTGGAGACTATATTACTTTATTATAATCTTCGATCTCAGCAAACTGATATGTTATAGGAGTAAATATTGTCAAGTATATGCAGTCTTGTCTGGAGCGAGAATCGATCATGCTCTCACCATTTCTCACGGGCCATAATTGATTTCTGCAGGAGTGGAAGGAAGGGTCTCTAGAATATGTGGTACAGAATCTCGTCAAGACCTGGGAGATGGAACTGTCTCACAAAACTAGAGTCGCCGATTTCAAGACCATCGATCCTGAGAAGTTTAGAATCTCCGTGAATGGTATACCCTTGAGTGCAGAGCGAAAGAGAGACCTCATGCATTTGTCATCACTCTGGCTTCCTTCACTTGGGCTCATTCAATCTGATTCTGCTCGGACTGCAACCCTTCTCCATAACCTTTTCTTCATCTCATGGGCTTAATCGTTGACTCGTTGCTTCGCTGCTACGCGGTGTATGACATCGGATTAGAAGAGCTGGTTGAGGGATCAGAGCTCTCGATCGGAGGATTTCAAAGGCTCACCTGATTTTCCTGCACTGCAGGTGGTCCCAAGCTCACAGCCGAGGAAACATTACAAGTCGGAAGCTACAACGCGTTGATGGCGTCCAGTCTTCCAGGAGAACACGAAGCTTACAAAGCCTCGGTCGAAACGTTCGAGTCTTCACACGAGATTTTCAGATCCGTGTTTCCGGATGGTTTTGCTTGGGAGGTGCTAGCTGTTTACTCCGGGCCTCCAGTTGTGGCCTTCAAATGGCGGCACTGGGGTGTTATGAAAGCTGGCTTCAAAGGCCATGCTCCGACTAACGATATTGCTTCCTCCGTGGGAATCTGCATCGCTAAGGTAAGCAGTTTGCATTTTACACCTTCCTCTGCAACTTCCATGCTAGCATTATCCGGAAAGTGATGACTCTGTTTTGCCGTCCGCATGAAAAATCATCCACCCACCCGCCATCCCTCCATCCCTCAATCGGTTAACATTTGCTCCTCTGGAGCTGTGACGTCGAAGAAGTTATGACAGCAAAGGAAGAGAGGATTGCGGTTTTCACGTCCACCTACTCTACCATGTACCTGCCAGTACTTTCCGGCGAGATTCATGCATCTGGGAGCTCAGCTCCTCTGGTCGTTCTGGTCATTGATAACGCTTCCGAATTTGTTGCAGGTGGACGACAACTTGCGAATCACGGAGCTGGAGGTTCATTACGATCCCACAGCTTTTCTCGCGGATCTCACCAAAGGGACCAAGTCTCCAGCTTACGGAGAATACAAGAAAGGCATCGAGGGTTGTCCTTACCTCAGCTCGCTGATGTCCTGACTCCCCCGAGACGACTTCAGACGACTTCAGGAACGGACACTTCCCTCACTTTGTAAATAGATTTTTTCATTCGGATTCTGTTCGATACTAAAGTATGGAGATTAGCACATAGCGGCCCCAGCCGTCGTCATCGCTCGTATGATTGCATCGAGAGAATGTTCCTTTTTGCAGCAGTATTGGCCTCAGGCGCAGTGGAATTCGACCTGAAATTTCTTTCTATGCGTGAGACCCTGGAGGTCATGAGCAGCGTGCATCATGGCCTTCAGCTGAGAAGGATTAGAATTCTCGTTTAGGATGAGAATGTTGACCTTTGCAAGCTGGTTCTAGATATGGATGAAAGAATTTTTCAAGTAGAGCCAGAGGTCACGAGTACAAGGTCTAGCGGTGGTCGATCACAGCACCTGAGTCCCAGAATCACAATAAGACTGCAATCTGGAATGACTGGTGTGACTCAATTCTGATGACATAGTGTGACAGCTTCCTGCCATCATCACACTGGTTAGCACACTAGATTCACCGTACGAGTGGGGATTCGAGCGTACTATATCTAAATGAAAGCACATGCAGGACATTTCATCATTCTGAGCATTCTGATATGGACAAAAGTTGTACAAATAGTCCCGCGGTTCAATAAAGCTTATGAAGACTTTTCATATTCCGCAACTTCTTGCTGACTTCGTTGACTTTCATTATCTAAAATAAGATCTTTCGTGTCAGAACTTTGTTTCATTCTAAGTTGGCCGATCGGACAGAAACTCGACGAACCTACAGTCAATCTGGGGTCGTTTGACCTCATGCACTCCCCCAAGTTCATGCGGGACAGATGCCATGAATCTCGCTGAAACTACCGGCTCGATGGCAGCCATGCAGTGAATTCTGTCTTGAAAGAAGTCATGACAGGATCCAGTCCTTTCCCAAGCCTACCGATGAATCATTCATCTTTACAGAGCTCACAGATTCAAGTCACGTAATCATTTGTGTGATCAAGTTTTTAAAGTGGTCTAAGAGACTCTGAAGCGTCCAGTTCACATGATGATAAGCTATACAAGACTAGCATGTCAGTGGTATGCAGTATTAAATTTCTGAGCGACCTATGTTTTCTGTCTTACAGCTTATCGTAACCCTGGTTGCATGACGTTTGTCACTTCAAAATCGACTCATTTAAGCTGTTCAAATGAATTCCAGGACTTCGCTCAGAGGGTCGTAGGTGCTTTGACTCGGCTTTCGATCGCAATTGTAATTGCAGCTAATTTAATAGTGTCAGCCAAATACCGGAAAACCTTCGTAACATGATCATAACAATCGAATCCAACTGTTGTATCGTCAGTCTGCAATTCAGGAAGATTTAGGGGCAAGACTGTAGAAAGGTCTGATGTCTGTCGCATTGAAAAAGTCTACATGCTAAGTCCAAGATTTTGTATTCAGAGTTGACTAAGTAGCAGTTTTGTCACTTCCCAGCTCTGTCCCCCAAGAAGCTGTACCACTAGTTTCATGCATCTGACTGCAGCCATCTAGTAAAAGCGCCTGTGGCATTTTGCTAGCATATACATTCTTGACTCAGCTCTTGGTAAGCCGGATTACTTGCTGTGTCTATTCACTAGGTTTAAGGCGTGCTCTGCATGAATTATTCTTAGGAGTCAACTACTGTGTTCTCTGTTCAGAATTTTTTAGAAATAGTTTGACTCCGTCTGTATTCTCATTTTTCTCTAAGTACTTCTGCGCATGAACTTTTTGCCTAACGAATGAACTGCAAGCAGCAGATGATACTCGGCTCAGACTTACCCAACCCCGTTCCAGATGGGGATTATGTGTTTCACTGGTTATAACCTCCGATAATTAACATAAGCCTCCCTGAGCAAGTTATGGATCGCATTCGGATGTCATCTTAGTTTTGAGGAACATAATTACGATAGCTTAGAGAGGTCAATTGTCTAATGTCTTCTCTGTCCGTTTTGAAAGAGGATATAAGCTTCATCTCTGTGCCTTAATGCTGGAAATGTTGATGGCCTCGATTACTTCAAATCCAGTACACAAGAGCTGGCTCATTTATCGGCAACTGCCCCTAACATAGTTGAAGACCGCCACATGATCACATTCCATTGGATGGCGGAACTTCGATCTTAAGAAGTTCCTGCCGTAGTTTTACAAATATATAGAAGGATCATATTTCTTTCAAACACACTAAAAAAACACCTCTTCATGTTTGTCGACACCAAAGGGAGATCTGGATCTGGTTGAGTTGCATATCGGCCAAATAAGCTTGATTTAGCATTAGGCTTAAGTTGCGAAGAGCCTTCTGCACATTTACATGAAAATGAAGGAATTTATCTGTCTTACTATCATGATGAAGAGACACTGAAGATACTTCAGGCCACATTTCTGTGCTTGGGGTTGATTATGTTCTTGTGTCTGCGGAACATTTCATATTCTGTTTTCTATTTGTTGAGTCCAAAATTCGTACGAACGCCAGTGCCACTTACGAAAACTTATATACAAATGAAAAGGTCAGGCCCGGCTCTAGAAACTTCTGGGCGCAGTGTCCATTTAAAACCTCGGAATCTATCGTCCTTGTGAAGCAGATCCGAGGCTCAACCATCGCTTTCGAATTAGTTGTACGACCGTATTGATGGAGCTAAACTGGTTATGTCTGAGCATGTGGTTTTCAGTGTGCTGAAACTATATCTTACTTTTGGCATCCAGTAACTCAAGCTGCAGCAACTGAACCTGTTTGGGCAGCCAGAGAATGGGGAGAGGAAAGGAGACTCGACGGAGGTCCTGTGATGATCACATGCAAATACGGAGGATCGAATGTCCAGGTGTGCGGTTCGTGGGACGACAGGAGTACCAGGTCGGCTACTTCGACCCACATTGCTCACAGTGTCTTCGTGTGACAACCAATATACATATATTGTATTTTATACTTACTCGTTTCCCTTCTTGGTTGATTTGTGACTCAATGTTTTATTACAGACAACATTCGAAGAATCAAGGAAATACGTAGATGTACGATAATAATTGTACGGTTGGAAACTAAGGTGCGGTTGTACATCGCTAACAGTGTCTTCGAATGCCAGAAATAAAATAAAATAAAATAAAAAATAAGAATATGTATGTTGTATTTCTTTCTATAGCCGCTACATTTGTTCACTGTTGATGGTGATCATCGTGTAATATGCACCATGATGTGAGTGCCCAGAATGTTGACTCTTGTTGGACCAAGGAACGATGAGAGTTAGTTGAGTAAACAAAACGAGTTAGTGAGCTGGAAAACTGATCGGGCCATTTGGCAATTCAGGGCCTCAATGACGCAATTTCTGTATGATTGAATATGTATAATTGCAAAAATGCGGTTGCTTCATCTAGCTCAGTTCCAGCCAGACGAATACGTACTAACTATGGTATGTACTAGGTACCGCTCACAATGTAGTCGCGGAAGGATTCCAGTCCAGTGCTATAGGCCTAATCTAACGCGGGTGCTGATGCCTCTCATCTATCGTCTCGAGAATCGTGCGTTGCTTCAGGTATTCTCTGTTGTTCTTGTCGGCCTTGATCCGTCTCCATTGTCGTGATTGCATGCACTCATTTTAAATTTCAAGTACACCGTCATAGAACTTTGTATTATGGCAGTACCAAGAGAGATGACGACATCATTCGAAAACTTTGACTTGCTGAAATTGTCCATTCTCGTTTCCAAGTGCATTCCTCGACTAAATTAACTTGTATTGTACTCTATGCATTTAAAATGATTTACATTTGGACCAAACGTAGACAGTTGCATACTGATTTAGAAATAAATTTTCCTTTCTAACTTTCCTGAGATTACTCGTTGCCAGGGTATTATATTTTTTGTGCCTCCAAGAGAACATACGTCATTTCCTCTGCAGGAGGTTCTCTCGAACACTTGTCGCCATAGATATTCTCATGAACACTAATGCAGATGAGATGTCTATTGAAAGAGTGGATGCTCTAAGATTGTGACCTGGAGCCCAGAGCAATGCACCTCGCATCCGTCACTAAGGTTTTGAAACTTTCCTAATGTTGATTTGGATGCTGTTTGATTTCAATACTACTCTTTCTGTTACTGATAGATGTACATCGGCGTCGAGACTATTCCACTTCAAACAAGCTGGATGAACTTCAAGAATGTGAATGTCCGAGTACATCCAAATGAGTTGCAAATCCAATCTAAGAACCAGAAATGTCACGAGGGAAGACCTTGTTTTAAAACTAAATCACATTGTCAGTCCATGAAAACCCCAGAGAGGCCATAGCACGTAAGAAGCGGAAATTCGGAGTCATCGTCCAACACAGTTAACAGGCGGCAAATCAAGTCCACAAAATTTAAGAGTACAGAGCAGTAGCTTGGTAACCGGCTGTCACAAAGCAAGAAGGTTAGCACATTCCTTATGCTGATTATTACTTGGAAGGAACTCAGTCACTCATCCTACTGATGACATCATCATGAATCAAGCTGGAGTGTAATAAATCTGAATCTGATATGGAATGAGCAATATTCCGTGCTAATGAAGTTTCTCTGCTATGTAAGATGAATGGAGCAGAGATCAGAGATCTATTCTATTGAAATAAGAAACCGACAGTTTTTAAACTAGTAACCGGTTTGACATCTCTGTTGCTCCTTATCTCCTAATCTCGTAAATAGGAGATAAGGAACTCGAAGCTGTCAGTCTTATGATTCAAGGGGTCTAACTGAAACGGGTATAGATGTTAGTATAGATGTTAGATGACTTAATCTACCTTGAGAAGATAATTTCACAATTCAGTATTAATAAGATCTGAACTGAATGAACGAACTGTGATCCTACACCGTAACCTCAACTGAGACAGAAACGTGTGTTTCACCTCATCACGTTTGAAAACCTCCCGTTTCATGGTGAATATTAAAATACACCTCATCTGGATAAGTGCAGTTCTTATCCAGTATGAAACAGTATTCATATCTCCCGGGTAGTAAGATGAGGACGAGATAGCATCCATATGCGTCGTGAAGCATAGTGTTCCTGCCAACGAAACAGAAATGAGATCAATCAACAAAGGTCAGCAACAGCAGCATTTGTTGTTGAACGAAGAGAATCTCGATTGATAAAGCCGCAGGTCATCTCAAGCAGAAATCATTCTCATTCAGCTTAATAATTCTTGGTGCCTGCAAACTGAGAAGCAACAACAGGAAATTCATAACAAGCATGTGTTTTAATATTTTACCTCCACGTCAGCAAAATATATTCATTCGTTTCGTCTGAGGTGGCGGTATGGGACCAACCTTATTACGATCAGTGAAAAATCGCAAGCGCATTTTAGTGTCCAACTGTGTACTGAGCATAATTATACGTAGAGTATTCTTTAAATAGGAGTGTTTTTAAAAATCAGGTTGTAACAAATCCAGCGGGCAAGATTAAAGAGAAAGCATCAAAATGTTTATAAATGTTGGCATTCGATGGCTATGAGCGATGTGGGTTGATGCCACCGACCTGATACTCCAGTTGTCCCATGAGCCGCACACTTGGATGTTAGATCCTCCATGTTTCCACATGAACGTCACAGGAACTCCTTCCAGTTCTAGTTTCTCTGCCCATTCGTTGGCAGTCAAAACTGGTCCGGTGCCTAGAGCTTCAGTCCCAGGCTGCAGAAAAACAACACACTTATAAGAATCTGGTAGGAAATAACCAGTTTAACTCCACATTGAGCAGTATATAACCAACTTTGAGCCTTGATAGTTGACGGGCATCTCGAATCTTTATGCACTTTCTCGCAGGCATGTGTGAGCACAAAACTATGATTACATGTCTTTTTACCTTTATGAGAGTTAAAATTTTGGATTTAAGCTCTTGCAAAATTATGCTTGGGGTTTTCTGAAAGTTTCTGCAAGATTAGGAGTTGGTGTGATGGTTAGGGGGCAAAAGGTGCGGAAAGAGGCCTTCGGGGCAAGGTCTTCGGCGAAGTGCCTTCGGTGAAGTCCTTAGGGGGAAAGGCCTTCGGCGAAGCAGTGAAACTTTCATAACATTTTCAATATGTGACGCCTTGACTCAGTTAGGGTTTTGTTGGAAAGATCTCGCGATGCTAGTTCCAACGAGACCAAGAACTCGTGAAACGGATAAGGCGTCACTGAGTTATGAGCGTCGAAAGCGGCTGTCATGGTTAGGAAAGACTTCGGCGTTAACATATAGAGAGGCCTTCGGCGTTAACATATAGAGGGGCTTTTGGTGATAACAGATAGAGAGGCCTTCGGCCCAACGGGTTGCGCATAGGCGAGTTGCGAGTAGGAAGCCTGTGCATAGGCAAACGCCTTCGTCGGAAGAATAAAACAGTGATAACTTTTTCAATTCTTATCGGTTTGACTTAGTTAAGGGCTCGTTGGAAAGAGCTCAACACGCTCGTTCCAACGAGCTCAAGAACGTTTCAAACGAAGCAGTGATCTGTGAGTTATGAGCGCCGGGGTTGACTGTTATAGATAGGCAAAGATGCGGAAGGGTGTCTTCGGCGGGAGGATGCCTTCGGTGGTGCGCAAAAGAAGATTTCGGACAGCGGATGTTGACGTGGTCATGAATAAAGACTGTACAGGTGTGACAGTGGTGGCGGCGTGAAGTCAGGCGTGGGAAATAGGACGGCGGGGCATGAAGTCGCACATGGGAACCAGGCCGTTGCTCATCATAGCGGGAACGGCATTCACGCGGCCTGTGGGTGACTCGGCCGTTAGACGTTAGAGAGGATTATTCGGCTTGCGAGCTGGGATTGTGTGGTGTGCCATTGTGTGGAGACGTTGGTGGGATTGGTCGCAGGAATAGAATGTGGATGTGAGTGATTTTCGCAGGGAAGTGGTGAGAATTATGAGGAATAGAGTGTGGACGTGAGTGATTTTCGCAGGGAAGTGGTGAGAATTAGGAGGGGAGTGTGGAGAGTTGAAGTAGGAGGAAGCAAACTCTTGTGGGTGGAGAGTCGTATCTGAGAGTGAAATTAAATTGAGATCTGAGATTGAAGTGTAATCTGAGATTGGGATCTGAGATTGAGGTGCGAAATTTGTGAGTGGGAGCTGAGATAGAAGTGGAAAATCTGTGAGTGGGAGCTGAAATCAGAGTGGAAGATCTGAGAATGGGAGCTGAGAGTGAAGTGAAATCTGAGACTAAAATCTGACAGTCGGGATCAGAATTTGAAACTGAAAAGGGAGAGTGGAATCTGAGAGAGGAATCTAGTGGGGTTTGAAGGTGGAAGTTGAGAAATCGACACTGAAATCTGAGTAGAAATTGGGAGTGGGACTGAAATCGAAGGTGGGAACTGAGGGTGTGAGACTGGAATCTGATACTCGAAATTGTGGGTGGAATCTAACAGGAGGGTGAGATCCCTCAAGGCGAGGGTGTTGAAAGCATGGAGTCGCTGAGAGTGTAGCCGGAGGGCTGAGCGGAAGAGTGTGTGCGACGGCCAAGAGGATCGCTGGGCCGAGACTGAGTTGATCACTAAGAGGAAGAATCGAGCAAGTGTTGAGAGTAGAATCGTGTTCCCTGGGTGTGAGGGTTGCTGTTAGGAAGGGTGTCACCTGGTGCGGCCGGTGTGTCACCTGACTGTGTCCGAGGCAGGGTGTCTAAAATGTGGCACTCATTCTAGGATAAACCACAGCGGCTGTAGTATTGAGAAAGTCACCCATAGTTGGGTTAGATTTTTATGTGACGAAGAGCTTGTCTGCTGCTCTTGTGAAAATAGCAGACATCAAGTTGTTAGTGTCAGTTCTTGACAATTTGTCTGTGGCAAAACGAGTATTCATGATTTCATTGTCTTGAATGCATTTTGACCACATGGTTTGAGATCAGAGAAGTTAGATTATGGGAGCTCGAACCTCCACCTGGACTACAAACTCTGAAATGTGGGGAGTTTAGGCTCACAGCATGGATGAAAAATTTCAGACAAATTAAAATTTATGAAGCGGTCATGTTGCCCTGAAGATGAACTTTTATCTTTCCTCGTAGAGTACATTAATCGCAACGAACACCTTCAGCAACAAATACCCGGCATGTTTTCAGCATAATCAGTTCCAGATTCCATGTGATATCAACAAAACCTATGAGTGCTTCTCCAACTTCTCACTTTATATTAGATTCTGAGATGAGTCTACTGTAAATAATGCCAAATTATCAATAGGAAAATTTTGCATTCTTGGATTTGTAAACACTTGTTGAGTTTTGACCCAAGGATCCAAATATTATGGTCTCTCATGGATTTAGATTTTACCTAAATGTAGTGAAGGAGGAGATTTCTGGTGTGCAGGGAATAAGTAAATATCTAATTATTTTCTTTAGAGAGTGTGTGTGTATATATATATATATATATACACATATTCAATTACCTCCACAGGCCTTGTATATTTCTATCATTCCCAATAAAACAAGTTCGTGATTATTTTCAGGATATGCATAGTTCTGAAAAATTATTTATAAGCTATTTACCTGCAATTCGACACCAGCAGAACACGTCTCCATAATGGTCGAAGCAAACTAACGGCTGCAGGCTTGAGCAATTTCCTTCTCAAACATGCACATTGACGACACAATTTCGAGAAAAGATCGACATTGCATTAGTCGCAACGCGAGGCATTGTCCATGGGGTTCATACAGTTGAAGAAAAGGTCAAATAGTAGAAAAATGCACTTGAAGTGAAAAAATTCGTGACTCCAGCACATCCGATCGAGCTCGCCTCAACAGCTGTCGGCACCCCTTGTCGGCAGCCGCGCTCCCGACACCCAGAACCGCCCGTCAGCCCCGTCTGCGCGTTGCAGTATGTCGCGTAATTGTGTGCGTCACTTTATGTCGAAGAAACCCAACGCCATAAATCGCGGTCTGCCCGAAGGGTAAACCCTAAACGGATATTTTTTTCATGCTCGCCGTCGCCCATCATCAGTGCAAGTCACTGGCCTGCGTCGGTCAGCGGGCCCGAGGACAGGAAGTACCGGTTCTGGCGCGCCAACTGGACTCGCACACTCGCTCTTTTAATCAGCGCGATGTTCTCGTACGCGAAGCCTTTCCTCTTCGGAGCGTCTCGAGTAGTGTTGGAGGCATAACTCAAAAGGCATGCCCGCTGGCGAGGGCAACGGGGCATGCCTCATTCGCATTTTCCATTAGGGGCATGCCCGTATGTATGGATAGAATTATACGTATATTACAGAGCTATAGACGGTGGGATCAGAAATTATGTTTGTTATTGGGGTTGCATGGTACTGAAACTGCTCTTGGAACTGAAGGATTTGCCAAGTATATGCAATGTTGTTTTTCTGTCGGTACGTGAGATGTACACAGGTCCTCCGGCTTGTTGATTGTTTCTCTTTCGAACAGTGCTTTATTTTCATAGAAGTATCTTTTTCATTACATCAAATATACGTATTGTAATACGGGTAGGCATGGGGGCATGCCTTTCGACCTTGAAAGGGGGCATGGGCATGACTCGAAAAATTTTGTTGTGCCTCCAACCCTAGTCTGGAGCGAGCTCTCGAGCGCCGGATGCCCTTTACCACTTGGCGAGGGTTGGTCGTGGTTAGCGGGTGGACCGAGTTCTGCCCTCACCGTCGATCGTGGTCAAAGAAGGACGTGGTTGGCGATGTGATGCAAAGGTGTTTTGCAAAGTGGAGCTCTTTCCGCCAGACGGTGGACTTCACCGCCAGCTTTAGCCGTCGACCTGGAAGTCGGCATCTTGCCCATTATTACCTTTTTAAACCTTCCGCAGTCCTCGTCACTAACGGCTCCCCACTTTCGGGGGAGCCCGAGCTCTGCCGGGGGCCCCTTCTGCCAGCCACCCTCCCCCCCATCCCGATGCGGCACCCTCCCTGGCCCGCAGCACTACCTCCCGCTCCCCGTCCTCGCCCCGCTCCAGCTCGCCAATCCCGAGCAATTTCGGCAAAGAAAGATAAAGGACATTGGCAGCTCTTTGCACGTTGCGAAAGATCAGTTTCAAGTGTAAAATTTAAAACAGATAGCAGGAATGAAGAAATCAATAGCATCCGATTGGATATCAATCAAGTAAGTTTGCCGGCGTTGTCCATCGGGTTGAAACTTCTTACGACTGGTATGACTCTGTTATTGTAAGAGTTAGATATAGAGGAGCTTAAGGTACCTGTATGATCATGCTTAACCAATTCTCTATAGGAAAATAGTCGACGATCATTACGTAGTGCTAGCTTTTGTCACCACATGACGTAACAGATGTTCATATATCCCAATCGGGACGAACTTGAGTTTCAAAGAATACACTTTCAAATCTCTGAACTCAAGCATTCATCTTCAATTTACTCAAGCCAGCACGTCTACCCAAAACCTATTTTGTAAGCAGTTAATCCTCTTCTCACACTTGGATTTCATAAACTTCCTTCACCCATGGAGGATTCCAAGAAGCCCACATTTTCCTGATGAATCTTCGAACTAGGCTCCCAGTCATTAAGTTTTACGAAGTTTGAAGAGAAATAAGAAGAAAAGAGGGCTTTGGAAAAATAAAAAAGGACTTAGATTTTTTTGGGAAGAAGAGAAGTACTTTCGCTCACATGCTCACAGTTTCGCGAGGGGAGGAGAAAAAAAATACAAAGTACAACTTCCCTGCGGGGAAGGGGCGACCGTCCCTGGTCGAAACGGGAGGTCGGGCTGCGGGCCAGGGACCGCCTGGGATCGGGCGGGCAGAGCTCGCGCTCCCCCGAAAGTGGGGAGCCCTTAGAGACGAGGCTCCTCAGTCGGACAATGGTCATTCGGCTAAGACCATACGGTCTTAGGACTGTGCCTTCTATTATTTATTTTATTTTAGATTTTTTCTTCGAAGTGATTCCAGCCTCGACTTCTGATTTATTTGCTGTTCGGTAGGTACAAATAAGAGGTGAAGTGCTTTCGCTGGTGTGCTTTTTCGGTGATGGCGAATTTACGACAACGGTAAACCCCAACTTTGCCACAGTTATTGGCTTCCATTCTTGCTCGCTCTGTACCATGTACGCAGTGATGGTTAACCTGTACCTGTGATCGACCAACGCAGTTAGTTGATTTATAGAAAACCCAACTGCGTTCAACTGTTTCTCGCTTTCAAGAGTGAAATGTATTATCATCTGTAGAAAGAACTCGATAAAGGTTAAGGGTTTGAACCTTAAACTAAACCCTAAGCCTTAAAACTGTCGAAATATTGATTTATTGATGATCATTTCAATTATCATCACATTTGGAAGAGCTTTATATTAGTATCACAAGTTTTTGTAGTTATCAAACTTGCATAAATAAATAAATAAATAAATAGTTCTTCAATATTTTTTCATGTTTTTATCGAATTTCCATCTTTTAATCAACAAAATGTAGTTATTACTTCCACTATTTGTGATTAAATTTAGATATGTGTGAATTCTCAGCTTAAAATTGCATTTACTTCAGGCATTTGTATTTGTATTTTTATTCTTGCAATAAGGATATGTGTCACCACGAGATAAGACAGGCATAGAATGATCTCGTATTTGTCCGATTGCTCAGCTTTTTGGAAGATTTCAGAGTTTAAACTTATCGTTTTGCAGAGTTCGAGTGTCCTTGTCAAATTTCGCTAGTTGAGCCAAGGCAGGTGCACCAAGTGAAAAAAAACTATATTGAAAACTTATGTTTTAAAATTTACACAATCTAGCTATTATTTTCAATTTTTGTGATTAGATTTACGTATTTGTGAATTCTCAGATACATTTATAAAATTTTTATGTAATTCTTATATATCCATATGAATATTTGAATGTAGATTTTTTGAAAATTTTATGTGAAAATTTTATAGAAATTTTTGTAATTGAAAATTTAATCAAATGTTATGCCGCTCAACATTCAAATACTTTCAAAGTGAATAAATTTTCAATTTTTAATAATGTAAGTAAGAGAATATATCTTCAAATATTCAATGATATTTTTTTAAAAATATTTGATAATACTGGATTTATGTTCAAAATCGTGCTATTTGAATTGTATTACTTTATCATTTATATTCAACAAATAAAAATCTCTACATGTCATATCAACCAAATTGGTAATTTCAAAATCAATGATACACAATCACTTGAACCATCTGTTATTTGACTAAATTTATTGAATAATAACTTGCAGAAATATAATCTTTAAAAAAAATTATGAAACAAGTCCATCATATTTTTGATTTTTTTGAGATTCATAGAGCTATTGTGCTTCGATTAGAAATTTATAATTTAGCGATTTTTTATGATATATTTTGGCTATAGATAGAAATATCCATAAATGATGAAATATATCTATTTGATTTTACTTCTAAGTTGAAGAAGAAGTTCTGAATTGTTTTACACATATAAGTAACAAAAGTTTAGAAATTTGGAATATTTTATTCAAAAATTTATTGTGAATTCATACAGCCTTTAAAAAAAATGTAAACTACTATTCAGTTCAATTTTAATTAAAATTAGTTAAAATTAAAATGAAAAATAATTTTTATTGACTCAATTTTCCTATGAAGATAAGTACGACATGCAATCATACATTTTGAAAAATAACATAATACATGAAGTCTAAAAGATAGAAAATTTTTAAAATTCTATTGTTAAAAAAAACTTATCACATAGTTATGGAAAGGTGGGAAAAAATCTGGAAAAATACTCAATTGATTATAAAGATGAAAAATTCAAAAACTACACATCCGTCAGACATCAATTTTGATTAAATAGATATAAAAAAAGTCTCGAGCTAATTTACGTGCAAACTAAAAAAATAGAACTGAAACTCTGCAATAAATAATTTAGTAATTATGAACCTATTATTCATACTTATTAAATATTTTTTGCGATTTTTTAATTTCATTTTATCTCCATATAATTTCATCATTGTCATATTATGAATTTTGATTTGTTGAAAAAACTTGCAGATTAAATGTTAATATAACAAAAAATCCAATGAAATTTATATTTTCTGTAATTATTCCTTTGAAATCTTAATATATTTGTGTTTAATATAAGTTTTGAGTTTACAAAAAAAATAAAATCAATGAATTTTTGATTTTATAAGATATTTTATATGTTTTATAAGCCACGATATGTTCGTTTCAGATGTTGATGCAATAATCTGTTCAGATGTACTATATGAAAATGTGATTTTTTTTTCTACATTTTTTTTTCAAATTTATTCAGTATTCTAAAATGTACTGAATACATTTTAGTATATGATAATAAAAACCAGATATCTAATAGTATTTAGCTCATCTTTTTAAATGTTTAAATTTTTAATTAATCTCATCAGTATTTACTCTAAGAAAATAAATGAATCATCAATTGAATACATTTTTCATCTATACACAATCTAAAACTGAATCTATAAATCTATGTTGTTATTTAGAGCGTTTGGGGCTTTAGCATTTGTCATGTACTTTGGTATATACTAAAAAAAGCAGTCGGCCTAGGGTTTCTGGTCCGGTAGGGTATAGGGTCGAAGGAGACTCGAAGAACTGACGTTCTTCGAAGTCTAGGCTAGCTAGGGGTGCGAGTTGTGATACATTTGAGTGTATACGCTTTCGTGTCCTATGTGTGTGTATGTGAGTAGCATGTCAGCGATGTAGGATGTATCGCAATACAGATTCGCACGACACATTAGATTGAAAAATATTTGTTTCTGATTATAAAAATTCAGTCATGGTTTATTCTTGAATTTTCATCTAATATTGCATTTATGTGAATTTGATTGTGCAAGTATCATATACGTTATTTTTTTAGAAAAATGATTAATATATGTAGTAAAAAATTTCAAAAAATTTATCAAAAGTTTTCACTTACTTTTATTAAATAAAAATAATGAATTCATACCTTATTTTATA